GAATTCGCTTGAATCAATTTCACTATATCCAGGTACAAACAGAGAAGGAATATATAGTTCTAGCTAGCAAGGACCTTGGGAATAAACCAGGGAACAACTAGGGATGATCCCAAATAATTTCAAGCAACAGAACCAACCTGGCTGGACAAAACAGCAGGTGGTAGGTTGGAAAACAACCTCTGGTTATGTTTTTCCAACCTGGGAAAACAACAACCAGGTTCAGGTCCTAAAAACAGAACCTGTTTTGTCTGTGCCCAACCAGCCAAATGCTGGTTCCGCTGGTTTCCCCTGGCCCTGTAGCATGCAGATACAGACAAACAACATCCAACATTCACCTAAATTGTACCCCTATAGTGCCTGCCCTGCTACACTATAGTCAACCAAACAAAAAAGTACAATTTCGAGTTGGATAGAACTGAATCTGCACAATCAATTCAACCGAACCGCAAAGCTTCCATCTTGGGTTCCTTTGCAAGCTCCTCCTTTCTGCTTCTACTGTTCATAGCGCGTACAGCGTTGTGCCGAAGCGCATAATGCGCTAGTACCTGCAAATGCTTCAAGCGAAAATTGCGAAAGCAAACAAACACACGAACATTTCATTCATACCCAAATGCATTCGCACACGCATACTCGTACAAACAGACGGCAGGATGTCGTGCAATGTGAATTTGCACCCAACAACTTCCACTGACGTCACTGGAGCTGGGAGTGGTGCTGGTCCCGGAGGTGCTCGTACTGGAGGTACTAGAGCTACTCGGACTGGAGGTGCTGAGTTTGGGGGTGCTGCTGCTGGAGACATTGAGGCTGGAGACCTTGGGACTAGAGGTGCCAATTCTAGGGGTGCTGCTGTTGGTGGAGCTGGTCCTGGAGGAGCTGGCGCTAGGGGTTCTGGAGCTGCTGGAGGTGCAGGAGCTCCTGGGGCTACTCGAGCTGCTTGTGCTGGTGGCACTGCACAGCTGCCCCTATTCTTTGCTCTTGCGTCTCCGTCGTCTTAGCTGCCGCCTGACTCTGTGCTTCGCCACGTTCTTGGTCTCCCTTCGTCTACTGGTCTTCCGTTACAGCATGGCTCACCACTTCTTGCTCCTTCTCCTTACACTGAGTAGACAAGGGGTCTTACTGAGCGACGTGAGCCTGCGTCGCGTTCTGTCTCGACGTTCTGGTAGTCCCGGTCGTCGTGTTCCTCGTCCGCGTCAGCCGGCTGTCCCCGGCACCTACCTCGTAGTCCATCGTCCTTCCTCTCCTCCGCAGCGTCTTCCTCTGCCGTCTCCTCCTGCGTCTTCTCTGCCTCACGTTCCAGAGCTTGAGTCTAACCGCGCTCGTGCTGCTCACCCTACTAACACGCATCTGCTAGCCACAGTTGTCACTGACCCATCGTTTGAGACTGCTGATGCGTCTGCCTTAGTCGCTGAGCTTGTTGACTTTGCTGCTGCCTGTCGTCTAGACTACGCCGCTAGTCTTGTTGCTGAGTCTGAGTCTGTCTGTCCTCCGTCCGTCCGGGGTGAGTGTGCTCTTGGCACGGACGTCCTTGACGACAGGCAAGAGGACCTTGAGTGTCTTGCAGCCGCTGTGCCTCATTTCATGTCCATGCTGCTTGCCCCTGAGGGAGACCCGGATGCTCCAAACATCCCGACCCCGTGCTCTTACGCTGAGGCGATCGCGGGTGAGTACTCCTCTCAGTGGCAGTCAGCCATGGATGCAGAGATGGCATCTTGGAAGTCCACAAGCACTTACGTTGACGAGGTTCCCCCTCCTGGGGCGAACATCGTTGATGGCATGTGGATTTTTAGGGTAAAGCGGCCGCCAGGTTCTCCGCCTGTCTTCAAGGCTCGTTACGTTGCTCAAGGTTTCAGTCAGCGAGAGGGAGTTGACTTCTTCCACACCTTCTCTCCCACCCCGAAGATGACCACTCTTTAGGTGCTGCTGCACGTTGCCGCTCAGTGTGACTACGAACTTCACTCTCTTGACTTCAGCACAGCTTTCTTACAGCGCAGCCTGCACGAGGAGATCTGGTTGCGCCGCCTCCTGGCTTCACTGGGTCGTTCCCTCCTGGTACCCAGTGGAGCCTCCGGCGGCCGGTCTACGGTCTCCGCCAGGCGCCACGTGAGTGGCACGACACACTAAGGACGACACTTGCTGCTCTTGGGTTTGCTACGTCGACTGCTGACCCGTCGCTGTTTCTGCGCCCCGACACTTCCCTGCCGCCGTTCTACATCCTCGTGTACGTTGATGACTTGGTCTTTGCCACTGCTGACACTGAGGCTTTCGCCCTGGTGAAGTCGGAGCTGCAAAAGAGACACATATGCACAGACCTGGGTGAGCTGCGCAGTTACCTTGGCTTGCATATCACCCGGGACAGAGCACACCGCACCATCAGACTGACTCAGTCACACATGGTGCAGCAGGTCCTTCAGCGCTTCGAATTCACCTGGTCCTCGCCACAGCACACTCACCTCTTGCTACATGTCTCTTGCTCTCAGCTCCTCCTTCGGACGAGTCCGTAGAGCCGAGTGGTCCTTACCCAAAGCTAGTGGGCTGCCTCATGTACTTGATGACCTGCGCTCGTCCTGACCTTGCATACCCTCTTGGCCTTTTGGCTCGCTACGTGGCTTCTGGTAGGCACCGAAAGGTGCACATGGATGCTGCTAAGATGGTACTGCGCTACTTGTGCAGTACATTGGGCATGGGGCTCGTGCTTGGAGGACGGGGCGACGTTGTCCTCACTGGGCATTCGGAGGCTTCTTGGGTTGACGAACATTCTACGCAGCGGTCGTCACAGGGTTACACCTTCAGCCTTGGCTCTTGCTCTGTTTCTTGGCGGTCTACACGCTCGTCTTCTATTCTCGGCTCCAGTTGTGAGGCTGAGATTTTCGCCACAGCCATGGCAGTACAGGAGCTCCGCTGGCTCACCTACCTACTAACCAACCTGGGAGAGTGGCCTCGTTCTCCTCCTGTGTTGTACATAGACAGCAAGGCCGCCATTCCCTTGTGTCAGGAGCACAGACTGGAGCACAGAACAAAGCACATCGCTCTGCGTTACTTCCTTGCTCGAGAGTTGCAGCAGCGTGGTCAGCTTCGTCTTTCTCACGTGGCCACTCGGGCCAACACTGCTGATATATTCACCAAGGCACTTCCGCCTGGTGATCGTCAGCGTTTGTGTACTTCGTTAGGCCTTGTGCCCACATTTCCTCACTTGCTGTAGACTTTGTTTGTACCGTTATCTAGATATACCTGCATGCTTGCTGTGCTAGGTAGAGATCACTATGTTGTTGTTGTTGCATATATACCTCTGCATGTGAACTGGCCGTGTGGCCCTTTGCTTGTGCTCAAAGTGCGTGGTGACGTTGTGATCTTCCTGTTAGACACTGGACAAGAGAAGACACTGGACGCGCTTCAAGTACTATCGCAGTTTGCGCACGTTCTAAAACTACAAACATCAAGACCATTCGACGGCAAAGGCTTCTATACCTGGTCATTCGAGTTCGAGCTGATGATGGAAGGCGCTCAAATCCTCGGTTTCTTCGACGGTTCCCTGCCATACCCAACACACGAAACACAGTACGACAGGCACCAGTATACATATCAGTCACTGATGGCGTACACAATCCTGCTACGAAACATAACGCTGAATGAGCAGAAGAACATGCGGTCTTATTGTGGATACTGATACTGTCGCTGTGCTTCGTTATGGGGTGACGGCGAGTGGAGAGCCTTCGGGAATGTTACGATAACAGTTTGGTTATTCCAACAAGAAGAATTGAAACGACACTAGTAACCGTCAGATTGAGACTAACGGAGGTAGAAACATTTGAAGTGAAAATGGTGGGAACAGGTTTGAAACGGGCTCCCGCGCTGCACAGTTTGAATTCGCTGTAATAAACGAATATACCCCTAAGAGTATATGACTAGCTAGGGCGTTTCTTTTTCCCTTTGTATTCCTATATAACTCGGTGTATGCATTGCTATTATCATCTGGGTCATTTACATTCACTCTGACCTAAGCTCACTACTTCCGCTGCAATTCTACCTGCGAACAACCTTGAGCCGATCCCTAGCAAAGTAATGTTTAGGATTGAAACAGTAATTGTTCTGTAATTTCCAAACCACAGGCTGTACTCGTAGGCTGCAGTGTGACGACTACTTAAAGAGTTAGAGATTTGCTATACTCTCAATATTCAACATTGTAATTTGATATTCCTTTTGGCTTGTAGTGTGTAACGTGGCTGCTTTATGAAGTGTAGTGTGGTTCGAAGTACGACAAGCGCGAATGCTGTGCTGCACACACCATCTCGATTTCACTTGCACGTTTGTTGAACCTCGAAGAACAGGGTACTTGCGATACTGACGATTTCTCAGCCTGTTTTCGCATTCATCGTTAACGTCCGACTGGAACATCGTGCACGCATTGCTGTGGTCGCAATTTTGCCCTGCTGAAAGAGGGTAACAAGCAAGGCGAGCCATGATGTTCCCGGGCCATCCCAAACCTGCACTACACGCGTTGTGTGCAGAGTTGAACCAATGCAGGTCTCTTCAATCAGCCTTGGCTGCTGCATTGCCACACTGTGGAGAGGCCAATGACCACCTTTGGATTCAAGCGAGCTCTTCGACTGAAGAGAGAGCCCGCAACAGTGTGGTAGCAGTTTGCTGGGCTCGAATTTCGCGTGCGCGACTTATTCGCGTGTCGCGGGCCCCACGGGCCGCAGCGTCCCGCGCTATGGCGTCACCACCATCGCAGGAGGCGACATCCCACGGCCAAGAAGACGTAATATATTTGGTAGCTTCCGGGATCACAGACTGTACGAGCCACCACTGGTGCAACAGCCATCGTCCGTCCAGCAGCACCGATTTAGTGCCTTGAACCCCCCCGACCGCATCTGACCTTCAGGGCACACGCCTCACCGCACCCACGCGCTTCGCGTGCCGTCTCCTCTCGTCAACCTGCCACACTCGTTCCCCCTGTCATCCGCGGCGCCGCACTCTGAGCGCGTCTCTCCCCCGCCGCCATGGCGTCCGCAGCCTTCCCCACGCTCTCCTTCACTGTGGCTCCCACGCCCTCCGCTCTTTGGTCCGCCAACCTCACGGTGAGTTTCCCACCGCCATGGCGTCGGCGCGTGCTCTCCGCTTCCCCCATCTCCGCGCACTTTCCGCCTGCAGTGCCCTCTCAAACTCGGAGGCTGCTCCTTGCTGGCGGCTCAGCGCATCTCCCATTTTGTCTTCACCCGTTCCCGTGCTTTCTCCACTCCTCTCCCCTCATCCTGCCGAATTCCCCCCTTCTTCCGATCCCAGGCGCCGTATCCGCCAAACGCGCCGTGGCAGAACATGGTGCTGGGGCAGGGCGGCAACCCCGAGCTCGTGACGCCATACCTTGTGCAGAGCGCGGAGGGGCGCATCGCGTGGGGGCTGCCGGTACGCGACCCGCAACCCGGATACATCGTGCAGGCGTTCGCCACCGCGCTCATGCTCTCCACGCTGCAGGGCCTTCCCCCCCACCAGCTCTCCGCCTACGACGACCTCTCCACCACCCTCTCCTTCCGCCAACCCTCCTCCGCGCCCGCCGATCCCTCCATCCTCGAGGTCCCCCTGGTGCGCAGGTCCCCCTTCCTCACGTTCATATTCCCCCCGGGCAGCCCCCCCGCGACGCCCGTGCTGACCACAATCTATGCCATCACGGGAGTGGAGGGGAGCAGCGACAGCAGGAAGTACCGTGTTGAGCTCAACAACGGCCAGGTCAGTCCGCAGCGCCAACCGCACCCCTTTGCTGCCTAGCGACTGCCGCCGTACCGGCCCCATTCGCTGTCTCACTCGCCCATGGTTCCAACTATCTCCCCCTCCCGCTTGCTTACTCTCCGTACTCACCACCTCCATCCCCTCGTTTCCCCCCCAATTCTCTTCCCCTACACCAGACATGGCTGGTGTACCTGTCGGCACCGCTAACCCTGAGGCAGGACGGGTCGACACTAGCAGCGGACGTGCCGTTCACGGGGACGATGGGCGTGGCGCTGCTGGTGGGCTCCTCCGCGCAGGACAGGGGGGCTCTGCTGGACGCGCACGTGCCCACGATGCCGGTGGGGGGGAGTGCGCACGTGGGCGCGTTCCGCATCAAGTACACCTTGCGCACCCAGCAGTGGCGCGAGCCGGCCAATGGCGACACCGAGGCGCCGCTGCTCATGCTTTCACTGAGCACGAGCAATGGGCCACAAGGCCAGTTCACATGCAGAGGTATATATGCAACAACAATAGCACAGTGATCTCTACCTAGCAAAGCAAGCATGCAGGTATATATAGATCACGGTACAAGCAAAGTCTACATCAAGTGAGGAAATGTGGACACAAGGCCTAACAAAGTACAAAATCGCTGATGATCACTAGACTGAAGTGCCTTGGTGAATATATCAGTAGTGTTGGCCCGAGTGGCCACGTGAGCAAGACGAAGCTGACCACGCTGCTGCAACTCTCGAGCAAGGAAGTAACGCAGAGCGATGTGCTTCTTTCTGTGCTCCAGTCTGTGCTCCTCACACAAGGCAATGGCGGCCTTGTTGTCTATGTACAGCACAGGAGGAGAACGAGGCTGCTCTCCCAGGTCGGTCAGCAGGTAGGTGAGCCAGCGTAACTCGTATGCAGCCATGGCTGTGGCGTAGATCTCAGCCTCAAAACTCGAGCCGAGAACAGAGGACGAGCATGTAGACCGCCAAGAAAAAGAGCCAGAGCCAAGGCTGAAGGTGTAACCCTGTGACGACCGCTGCGTAGACAGTTCGTCAACCCAAGAAGCGTCCGAGTGCCCAGTGAGGACAACGTCGCCCTGTCCTCCAAGCACGAGCCCCATGCCCGATGTACTGCACGAGTAGCGCAGTACCCTCTTAGCAGCATCCATGTGCACCTTTCGGTGCCTACCAGGAGCCACATAGCAAGCCAGGAGGCCAAGAGGGTACGCAAGGTCAGGACGAGTGCAAGTCATCAGGTACATGAGGCAACCAACTAGCTCTGGGTAAGGACCACTCGGCTTTATGGACTCATCCGAAGGTGGAGCTGAGAGCGAGTGACCTGTAGCCAGAGGAGTGTGCTGTGGCGAGGACCAGGTGAAGTTGAAGCGCTGAAGGATCTGCTGCACAATGTGTGACTGAGTCAGTGTGATGGTGCAGCGTGCTCTGTCCCGGGTGATATGCAAGCCAAGGTAACTGCGCAGCTCACCCAGGTCTGTGCATGTGTGTCTCTTCTGCAGCTCCGACTTCACCAGGGCGAGAGCCTTAGTGTCAGCAGTGGCAAAGACCAAGTCGTCGACGTACATGAGGATGTAGAACGGCAGCAGGGAAGTGTCGGTGCGATGAAAAAGTGATGAGTGAGCAGTGGACGGAGCAAACCCAAGAGCAGCAAGTGTCGTCCTTAGTGTGTCGTGCCACTTACGTAGCGCCTGACGGAGACGGTAGACCGGCCGCCAGAGGCTCCACTGGGTACCAGGAGGGAACGACCTAGTGAAGCCAGGAGGGCGGCGCAGCCAGATCTCCTCGTGCAGGCTGCCCTGCAAGAAAGCTGTGCTGAAGTCAAGAGAGTGAAGCTCGTAGTCACGCTGAGCGGCAACGTGCAGCAGCACCTGAAGAGTGGTCATCTTCGAGGTGGGGGAGAAGGTCTTGAAGATGTCAACACCCTCTCATTGACTGAAACCTCGAGCAACGTAACGTGCCTTGAAGATAGGCGGAGAACCTGGCGGCCGCTTCACCCTGAAAATCCACATGCCATCGACGATGCTCACCCCAGGAGGGGAAACCTCGTCAATGTAAGTGCCTGTGGACTTCCAGGATGCGATCTCTGCATCCATGGCTGTCTGCCACTGAGAGGAGTACTCACCCGCGATCGCCTCAGCGTAGGAGCGCGGGGTCGGGATGTTTGGAGCATCTGGGTCTCCCTCAGGGGCAAGCAGCATGGACACGAGATGAGGCGCAGCGGCTGCAAGACACTCAATGTCCTCCTGCCTATCCTCTAGGACGTCTGTGCCAAGAGCACACTCACCCCCGACGGACGGAGGACAGATAGACTCAGACTCAGCAACAAGACTAGCGGCGTAGTCTAGACGATAGGCAGCAGCAAAGTCAACAAGCTAGCGACTAAGGCAGACGCAGCAGCAGACTCAAACGACGGGTCAGTGACAACTGTGGCTAGCAGACGCGTGACAGTAGGGTGAGCAGCACAAGCGCGGTCAGACTCAGGCTCTGGAACGTCAGGCAGAGAAGACGCAGGAGGAGACGGCAGAGGAACACGCTGCGGAGGAGAGGAAGGACGACGGACTACGAGTTGGGTGCCGGGGACAGCCGGCTGACGCGGACAAGGAACACGACGACCGGAACTCCCAGAACCGACAGGTGAGACAGGACGAGACGCAGGCTCACGACGCTCAGCAAGACCGTCTGTTAGCTCAGTGTACGGAGAAGGAGCAGGCAGCGGTGAGCCAGGCTGTAAGGGAAGACCAGTAGAAGACGGGAGGCTAAGAACCTGGTGAAGCACGGAGCCAGGCGGTGGCAGAGACGAAGGTGACGGCGCAGCGAAAAACAGTCGCGGCGGCGCAGCGCCACCAGCACCATTAGCTCCAGCACCTCCTGCAGCTCCAGAACCTCTAGCGCCAGCACCCGCAGCAGCTCCAGAACCTCGAGCTCCGGCGCCACCAGCGCCTGCACCTCCAACAGCTCCAGACACTCAAGATCCAGCACCCGCAACAGCTCCAGAACCTCCAGCTCCGGTGCCACGAACGCCAGCACCTCCATCAGCTCCAGAACCTCCAGCGTTAGCACCCGCAACAGCTCCAGAACCTCCAGCTCCAACGCCACCAGCGCTAGCACCTCCAACAGTGCCAGAACCTCTAGCGCCAGCACCCGCAGCAGCTCCAGAATCTCCGGCTCCAGCGCCACCAGCAGAAGCACCCCCAGAAGGCACCTCGAGCTGCAGGGCCTCCAAGCTCAGAGTCAACAGCAGCACCTCCAGGTCCAGCAGGACCTCCAGCCCCAGCAGCTTCAGTACCTTCAGTACGAGCACCTCTGGGACCAGCTGCCCCATGAACTCCAGTAGAAACAACTCCAGTAGCAAAGTGACCAGCTCCAGCGCCTCCCGCAGTAGGGCCCCTAGCTCCAGCAGCGCGACCCTGGCTGCTAACGTACCACTCACGCAGCTTCTATAGGGAGAGAGGGACAGTGCCGGCTCCAGTGCCTTTAACACTAGCGCCTCCCGCAGCAGGGCCCCCAGCTCCAACAGCTCGATCTTGACGGCCAACGTACCACTCACGCAGCTGCTGTGGGGAGAGAGGGAGAAGACGACGAGAGTGCAGCGCCGAGGCACCAGTAGAGCGACTACGGAGAAGGCCGCTCCAGGGAGACTGCTCACCAGACGCCGCAGCGCCCCCAGGTGCAGCACCCCTGGACTCAGCTCCCCCAGGCTCAGCACCCCCACACTCCTCACGCCCAGGCTCGGCACCTCCAGGCTCTGCACCCCCAGGACCAGCACCCCCAGGCTCCGCACCCCCAGGCTCAGCACCCCCAGAAGCAGCACCCCGAGCAGGACCACCCTCAGCAGGACTTGAGTCACCAATGACCTCAACCGGCGCAGTCAAGGGAGGAGGGTCTACCAGAGACACACCTGAAGGAGCAAGACCGAGAGCGGGGAGGGGGGCTACCTGGGGAGCACCTGGTGCCAGGAAGAGCGGCGGGGGGGGGGGGGAGAGGGGCAGTGCGGTAGGGGAAGAGACGGTAAAAGGGAACCGAATCGTCGAACGTGACGTCCCGAGAGGGGAAGACACGGCGCGAGGTGGGGTGGTAAAACTGCCAACCAGGCGCGTCAGGGACAAAGCCAAGGAAGACACAGGGAACAGCGCGGGCGGAGAGCTTGTTCGCGGTGGTATCGCGGACAAAACTCCCCACCTCTGTCATAGTGCAGACGCACGACGGGAAACTCCGTCCCGAACCGCTCGCGGAGCTGGAGACAGGCAGCGTGGATCCAAGGGATCAAAACATTAGGGACCTCACCCTTGGTGCGCAAGGGGAAGACCCTGGTGTAACGCGAGTAGTCGTCAACAACCAGCAGGAAGTACCGCTTGCGGTCCTTCCCACTGACGCGGGATGGGCCCCACACGTTTATGTGCAGGGTCTAATTGCCCACTGAGGGGGGAGGGGGTCTACCATGTGATGTACTAATTGCACCCGAGTGTTTTGCTCCGTCTCCCACCGTCTCGCAGATGTGTTGGGTGCAAATTCACATTGCACGACATCCTGCCGTCTGTTTGTACGAGTATGCGTGTGCGAATGCATTTGGGTATGAATGGAATGTTCGTGTGTTTGTTTGCTTTCGCAATTTTCGCTTGAAGCAGCATTTGCAGGTACTCGCACAATGTGCGCTTCGGCATAACATTGTACGCGCTATGAACAGTTCAAGCAGAAAGGACGAGCTCGCAAAGGAACCCAAGGTGGAAGCTTTGCGGTTCAACTTACTTGTTTACGCAGATTCAGTTCTATCCAACTCGAAATTGTACTGTTTTGTTTGGTTGACTATAGTGTAGCAGGGCAGGCACTATAGGGGTACAATTTAGGAGAAGGTTGGATGTTGTTTGTCTGTATCTGCATGCTACAGGGCCAGGGGAAACCAGCGGAACCAGCATTTGGCTGGTTGGGCAAAGACAAAACAGGTTCTGTTTTTAGGACCTGAACCTGGTTGTTGTTTTCCCAGGTTGGAAAAACAGAACCAGAGGTTGTTTACCAACCTACCACCTGCTGTTTTGTCCAGCCAGGTTGGTTCTGTTGCTTGGAATTATTTGGGATCATCCCTGGTTGTTCCCAGGTTGATTTCCAAGGTTCTCGCTAGCTAGAACTATTTATTCTTTCTCTGTTTGTACCAGAATATAGTAAAATTGATTCAAGCGAATTCCTTCTTTGCTGGAATTTCCTTTCTACGCGGTGCAACGGCGGAATGCTACCCGAGTCAACGCTAGTACGCTAGCACTCCAACGCTAGGCTAACGCTGTCCGAGCCATAACTTCGTAATGGCAAAACTTTTCGCGAGGCAACTTGGCTTATTTTAAAGCTCTTAGAGTGAGCTTCGATATAGTAAATTCTCAGCTTAATCCGATCAACGGTCTGCACTATACGCTGCGCAACGTTCAAGGTACTCTTGCTGTTTTGACTAAGTCCCTCTTGATCCCTCTCTCTACAAACTCGGACCCGAGGATAGGGGCTGGTCTTGTACCAGGCACCCAAGGACCCTTGGAGGTGACCCC